TTTTCCCGTTTCAGTATCTCAGGGCAAGTCGAGTGAAGCTCGGGGCAAGCTCACGGGGGCACAGCTCCGGAGCAGAAAGCAGGAGCAGCTGCGGGGGCTTAGGGCTCGGCCCAGGGCTTCAGAGGGCCTGGAACTGGAGGGGGCCGAGTGGATCGAGGGCGACGCAGTGAATGACGATCGCGAGTCCGCCTGGGCAGTGGGAGGAGCCCTAGAAGCCGTGGCGATCTCGCGAGGCACGGGCCGCGAGCAACTGAAGCATAACGGGCCCAGGAGGAAGGCCAGGCAGCGGGCGAGCTCCATGGAAGCGTTCCCCCCTCCCAGGATCGGCCCAAGAGTCCAGGCGCGGGGGGGGGGCCCTCGTAGTGACCGTTAGTTGGGACTTGTCTACCGGCTGGGATTCCAGCAAAGTTGCGGATCGTAGGAGGCTTTGGAGGAGTATATGCACGGACAAGCCGGAGACCATATGGCTCTGCCCACCCTGCCGGACCTTCTCAGCGATCAGCAGGATCAGCGAAGCTGTGAGGGATCCCGATGGGTGGTCGATCGCCGTTCGAAATGGGTTCGAGGAACTTATTCTCGGTATGAAGAGCGCCGACTATCAGGTCCGGCACGGTCGGTTCCTCGCGTTCGAAGACTTTTTGTTCGCCACATCTTGGGACGCTCAGGTGGTGCGGGCGATCGCGGAGAGGTGCGACGTATCAGGGTGGACATGTGCACCTATGGGCTCAACGTCACATGGGAAGGGCTCAACAAGAATCCCACGGGGATTCTGAGCAGTCATCGTAGGATCCAGGAGGTGCTGGGAGGCCTGGTGCGACGGTAGTCGCAGGCGCGTATTGCTCGAAGGTAAATCATGAACTTCTCGGGCCCAGGTGTATCCCCGTCGGTTTGTCGATGCGGTGGCCCGCGCGGTGACCGAACAATGGGGCAGGGCGAGTCTAGGCAGGATGGCCGCCTGGGCGGAGCTCGACGGCAGCGCGTTTCCGGTCGGGGAGCTGTCAGACGGAGAGGGCCCGGGGGACTTTGAGGACAGCGGAGAAAACGAGCCGGGGACCAGGCCGACGGACGCCAGCGGCACCGTCAAGAGAGAGCCGGATCCTGAGATTAGTGAGCAAGAGAAGCGCCTCGCGTTTTGTCTGCACCACAGCATGGGCCGCCTGGGCAACAGGAAGTTCGTCAAAGTTCTGCGCGCAGGAGGTTTGAAGATGCACGTGTTTCGTTGGATACGTGACTTTTTCAAATGTTCGGAATGTGCCGAGGGGTCGAGCACCTCCGTTCCCAGGCGTGTAGCCATGCCGAGGACCTCCATATTCAATCACATAGCGGGATTTGATTGAGTTTATCTTCCCTCTCAAGATAAGACGATCCCCTTCCAGAACATAGTGGGCCATGGGTCAAATTTGCAAGTTTGCGTGTGTGTGAAGGTCGAGGAACGCAAGGCGGCGTGCGTTTGGCGATCTTTCGTGCACGCCTGGATTCGACCGTTTGGCGCCCCTCATTTCGTGCTCTCCAATGGAGGCTCGGGGTTCGAGGATCGATTCGCTCGAGGATTGGAGCGGTGGGGGGTGTTGCACCACGTATGCGACGCCAGCTTCCTATGGCAGATCGGCAGGGTTGAGAGGCATGGAGGGCGGATCAAGGAGCGGGTGAAGGCCGAACTGGAAGCAGGGTCGCCCATCATAGCGGTCCTGGCCGAATTCGAGGATCTTATATTTGAGTTGTGCGCTCACAGAAATCGGTTTTGGCACGCAGGTGGATTCTCTCCCCTCCAACTCGTTGTCGGAGAGAACCCCAGGCTTCCCCATGGGCTGCTGTCTGACGATCATCTTTGCCTTCCAGGCTGGCAGGACAGCCTGAGGCCAGCATCTGAGTTGGATTCGGCCGGGGCAGAGTTTGCTCGATCTCAGAAGGTGCGAGAATTAGCCCGTAGGCGGGCTCTGGAGACATGCTGCCTGGGAGAAGGTCCAGAGATCAAGTCGGGCCCGTGCCGGCCCCGCGGTGAGTTTTACCCCGGGCCAGTGGGTGTCTGCGTGGAGGCGCATGACCAAGGCGGGTCCTAGGGCCGACAGTCGCGTCCGGCGCCGCGATGCCTGGACAGGTCCGGGGGTTGTAGTGCTGGCCGAGCGCGGGGCGGATTGGGTCGCAGTGAGTGCGCGCCCCTGGAAGTGCTCTCCTGAGCCGGTGCGGCCCGCCTCGCCCGAAGAGGAGTGCGGGGTCCATCTAGCACGAGATCCGCAGTGGACCGAGCTGCTCGGCCAAGTCTGGACGCGACGGGCCTCGGCTGTGGACGCGCAGCGGGAGGGCCCGCCCCCCGACGAGGCTCGGGATCAAGCCTTGGCCAAAGGGTTCGATCTGGCGCCCAGCGTGTCCGCGGGCCCCCCCCCCCCCACCTCCAGGGCCGGTGTCTCGGCCAGATGGGCCTGAGGTAGGAGGAGGCACGGGCCAGAGCCTCGACCCCGTCTGGAGGTCTCGGACGGCTAGGCATCGGTTCGGTCCGCCTCCTCGGTGATATCGCGGATTTCAAGAATGCATTTTGCCAGTCGGATCCAATGCAGCGCTCGCAAGGAGAAATACATGTGGCACCGTGCGAAGGAATCAAGGTTGAACCCGGTTCGCTCATCCGTTTGAAAGTCAATGCTTATGGTCTCGACGACGCGCCTCTAGCATGGCGCAAAATTATCGTCATTTTTCCGAAAGACAAGGGCTTCTGTCGAAGCCTCCTGGACCGCGTCGGTGGACCCGGTGCGACTCAATACGAAAAAAAGTTAACGCGGTTCTCTTGGAGGTGGATGACTTTTTTATAGTCGGCAACTCGTCCGAGTCCAGGCAGTGGAGCAGGAGTGCTCTCGAGAACGGGGTCATTTTCGGGAAGTACCGCGACCGTCGCGGGTCCCGTCGAGCATGCCGGACGATCTGCGCGCGTCGGCCCGCAGCGCGCGACCATGGACCAGGACAAGTACATTCTCGAGGAGATCTGGCCTGTCACTCTCGCCCGGGGACGGTTGGGTCAGAAGAAGCCCCCCTTCGATAAGGAAGAGTTCAAGGCCCTGAGATCATTCATTTACAAGCTGAACTGGGTCGGGCGTTGATCTCGACCGGTCTGGCTAGCGGGCTCAAGCAGCCTACGGTAGGAGATGTGTGCTGCGCTAACAGGATGGTCCGCCACTTGAGAGCGACGGCCTCTAGAGGCCTGAGCATCTGGCGCCTCGACCCAGAAAGAATGGCTTTCGCGTCGTTCTCCGGCGCCGGAGGGGCCGGGGCGAACGGAGGTCAGGTGGGCGAGAGGGCGCGCGGATGGTGCTTGCCACGGACAAGAGCGCGATTGATAACCGCGTGGTTCGAGCGTCTACCGTCGGGTGGGGGAGTTCAAAGCTCCGCCGGAAAGTTACCTTGACCCTGGCTGGCGAAACGCAAGCTCTGTCCGCGGCTGTGGCGACAATAGAGTTTCTTCAAGTTTTGTACCGAGACTTGATGTTGTTTCGGATTATTGTCGAGGAGCAGGTCCTCTCACTACCGCTCTCAGGAGCAACTGCCGCCTCGGCGGTCGCGAAGAGCAGGTCAACGTCGCAGACGCCATGAGCATTTACGACACGGTGCTCAAGGAAGGCAATGGCAGTGCCAGGGACAGGAGAACGGCGCTGGATCTAGCAGTGGTGTGCGAGACGCTAGAAAAGGCCAGCGGACGCATCCGCTGGATTCCCCGCGGTCGGATGCCAATGGATGCTTTAACAAAGTATGACATATGCAAGGGCAATGCCGCTCTGGCGAGTCTGTTCACCAAGGGTAAGCTGGTTTTCGTAGACGAGGCCGAAGAGCTGGATCGACGCAAGCAGAACCCAGGAAGCAAGGATCGTTCCCAGGCCGCCTCCAGACAGTTTCTAGCTCAAGGCTCTGAACTCGTGTCCTGGTCGGTTTTCTGCAGTGTCGTTCCGGGTCCGGAGTCGGGCAACCTTTCTCCATCTTCCCCTTTTTCTTAGCGTCCTGCTAAGCAGGACGACTGTCTTGATTGTATAGTGCTGCTCGCATGGGGGCTGCTAAACCTACAAGAAAGTCTGACCCATGCGATGGAGTTCCAGTTTTGTGGGTTTAGGTTTACATTCGTTTCATTCACGAGAGAGTTGGAGCCAAGAGTCGCGACGTTCGTGGTCTGTTGTCGGTTTGGCTCAATGCAAAAGGCATCCGCTGTTCCTGCTGCTGCCACAACACCTCCTTCATTCCTCTTCCCTCCTCCCGTTCCATCCTCCATGTACCCTCCGCTTTCCTGCCTTCTCGATCCTCGTCTCATTGCCTTCTTAGTGTGTCCTATGATTTGCCTTAGTAATGTTTTTCTTCGTTTTCTTATACTGTTTTTCTTATTATGCTTATTTTCCTTATGTGTCTTATTACTAATATTAGTATTCATACGACTCATCATTATTCGTACGGTTCTTGTTATTCTCAATATGTTTTGTATTACCATGGTTGATACCAGGATTCGCCGTACAAATTTTAATATTCTCATTTCTTCCCGTCCTCATCATCCTCCTTTTCCTCTTCCTCCTCCCCCTAATTTTTCTCGTCCTCCCCTGAATGCATCCTCGCTGCCATCTTCGTCCTACTCCTCCACATCCTCCTCGTTCTCATCATCCTCGCGTTCATGATCATACTCATCTTCTTCCTCCCCCAGCATCCGCGAGCTCCCGATCCTGCTTGTCATCCTTGCCCGATTTATTCTCACCCAAGGCCCAGGCCCCTCCTCCTCCCGTCCTCTCCCCTTGCTCCTGTCCCCCCCACTCTCTCTCCTCCCCATCTCCCTCCTTCACTCCTCCCTCCCCCCTCTCCCACTCCCTCCTACCTACCCCTCGTCCCTCTTCCCCTCCCTCCCTCCCTTCCTCCCCCCCCCTCTCCGCCTGTGGCCTCCCTCCCCGCCCCCTCATCCATTCCTTTCCCCCACTCGGCATCAGCCTCTCAGCCGCCCCTGCTCCCTCTCCTAGCATCTGCCTCCCTGCCCCGCCCTGGAGGATCGGAACCTCTGCGTCGAGACGCGCGAGGGGACGGTCTTGACCCTGGCGAGCCTCTTCCTCGCGGAGGTCTCATGCGAGCCGCTGCCCGTAGACCTGGGTCGGGAGGGCTCCACCCCATCGGACGCTCCGAGGCGCGCGCCTCTTGCCCGCCTCGGCATCGTCAGATCCGAGGCGAGGGTTTACCCACATCCATTGCTTGGGAGACAGTTCTTCCTGGACCTCGGGAGGCGGTGGATCAGATGTCTGGACCCCGCCGCCCTCTGGGGGACCAGGACATAGGTTCGCCAGGCGGTGGGTATGGCAAATCCCCGCCTCGCAGGCCTCGCAGCTAGACCTTTCCCCATCCCGACCGCGAAAGCCTTGGCCCCGCAGTCTGGCCAAATTACCCTTCCCCCCCCAGGTGGGTACAGAGGCCGCTGGCTCGGTCGGCGGCTTCGGCTTCTCCTCCCAGTGTTCCTGCATTCCTGTTCGCCCTCCTCGCTACTCCTCCCTCGTCCTCTTCCTCCTCCTCCTCCCCCTCCTCCTCCTCCCCCTCCTCCTTCTCCCCATTCTTCTCCTCCATCTCCCTCCTCCTTCCTCCCATCCTCAGTTCCGGGCTTTTCTGCGTTTCCCGCTTTTCGAACCCCGTCCGAACTCCGAGGCCTGCCTCCCCCCTGTGTCGTGGTCATTATCGTCGCTCTCATCGTTTCGCCCTCCCGTTCCTCCAGGTGAGTTTTGCTCTTCTTTCGTCGCACCAGCCGGCGTGTCTCTAGGGCGGTGTGTCTGTAGGGCGGTGTGGGTGTTTCGCTGGATAGTCCTAAATTAACGGCTCAACAGTAGTACGGTCGGAGGGCGCGATGTTTTCGAAACGTGACTATCGCCCCATCATCGCGAACACGTTCTCTCAAACGAGTTTAACGAACATGTCGGCCGGGCAGGAGCGGCTCGTGATTGTATATTGTTCCCGCTGGTTTGTTGTTGTCCTTGTTTTCTTTTGATTGCAGCATGTGCGCATATTGGCGACTAGCTTTGATGTCAGATCTGGTTGTTCTATGTTTCCACGTTTCATGGTACCATCGCATGAACAAATCGACACCCACTTGGCACGCAATGCTGATTCTTTTCAGAGCCGAGCGCGTAACCGCTGTACATATGACGGCCACAGGGCTTGACAGGTCTACAAGGTACAAACATGGTTGATCTTACTATTCGCAACCTGGCCCTCGCCAACAGCTTGTCTACACCTTGTATTCTCAAGACGTTGATGCTTAAGCGGGTGAGCGGACGGAGGTAGGTTTCTACACGTATAGATCAAATGTTCGTCTGGAATCTCAATACACGTTCCATTCACGCCTGTGAAGTTGTAACGTTGCACGGTTAATTAACGAAGGCTCTTTCAAAGCCGCGGTCTCGCCATGTCGCCGCGCACAGGTTGCCGAAGTTGTCTGTTTATTTGTTGTATTGGAGGGCGTGTACATACGCTCGAAGAATAATGCGATTGTCCTTAGTTGGGCAGTTCACAGCACACAGAGTCTATACCATGTAAGTACATTGTGCCCCTAGCTTTCCAGCGGGAGTTCGTCGTAGTGCATACACGTAACTAGTTTCGATTTAGCGCCTATCATATTGCTTGCGTCGCGTCGCTCCACCATGCCAACACAGCATGCTCGGCAGCGGTTAGTCGAACATTTGAGAATGATGATGCGGATGAAACGATAATGGCGATGATTATGGTGATCGTGATGGTGATGGATGCATTGAAGATGCGTATCATTGTTCTGATCAGCACACTGACGATGATGCTACTGCTGATGCTCATGATGCGGCTGGTGCTGCTGCTGCCGATGATGGTGGTGGTGGTGATGATGACGATGGCGATGATGTTGCTGATGATGATGCTGATGCTGACGGTGGTGGTGATACTGATGCTGATGATGATGCCGATGGCGATGCTGGTGATGATGATGTGCTGATGATGATGAGTAGGATGCGGACGAGGAGGAGGATGAGGAGGATGAAGATGATGGTGATGATTGGTAAAGCGGACGAGGGACCCGTAACATGATGATTGCGATGGTGATGATTATGACGATGTTGATGTTGATGATTTCGATGTTGATGATGTATATTGTGATACTGATGCTGATGGTGATGATGATGTTGATGATTATGATGATGATAGTGGTGATGATGCTGATGGTGCTGAGGATGAGGATGAGGATGATCATGGTGGTGGTGGTGATGGTGATGATGATAAGGAGGAGGAGGAGGAGGAGGCGGAGGAGGAGGCGGATGACGAAGACGGCGATGGTGATGATTAGGATGTGGAAGAGGAGGATGAGGAGCAGGAGGAGGAAGAGGGGAGCCTTCGCTTCCCGAGGAACTCGCTTGGGGCTCATTTGGACAGCCTTGGGGCTAGCTAGGTCTTCTGTGGGGCAGACTTAGGGATCCTTTGAGGCACTCTTGAGCCGTCTGCGGGGGTCCTTGGGGCAGACGTGGTGCCGTCCCGGTTGTCTGGGGTGCATCTAGGGGCCGCTGAACTCGGCGAAGGCATCTCAGCTCCCCCCTGCTTCGCGCAGTGGCGCTCGCTCATCCTCAGCCCCGAATGCGAACTCAACTGGTCATTCGACGACTTGACGGGTGCGCGCTTCCCTTTTTAAGCTTTTGGTCGAGTGGGCGCCCTGTTTTCCTTTGATAGCTGCATGTCGGCAGAGGGCCTGGGCTTGTGCGGCGCCTGGCCTGACGTCGTGTATATCGACGCAATCACGATGCGGATGGGGCGCGAGAGTGCCAGGTGCCTGGTGCAGAACATCCACGGCCGCATGCTGGGTTTCTCTCTCTCCCTCTCTCTTTCTTTCTTTCTTTCTTTCTCTCTCTCTCTCTCTCTCTCTCTCAGTCTCGGCTCGAGAGTGCTCTGCACTCAGACCGCAGCTACGACGCGAAGCGCCCCGCCTCGGAGTCAGACTCCCAGGCCTCGCGAGACCGGAGGGGTCCCAGCAGGACCCTACTGATTCGCGTCACCTCTCCGCACCAGAGTGCCCGCAGCAATGGCCCCCAAGAAGCCGGAGCGCCGTCACTCTTCAAAGCAGCCTCCGAGCTCCCGTCCCACGCGCCCTGCTGCTGAAGGGTCCCTCCTTCAACGCAAGCAGGACTGCATCGCAGCGTTCAGGCAAGCGGGGTCTGACCGCCCCACGGCCGCCTATAACGGGCTAGCCGAACTGAACGCGGACGAGCTCCAGGCAAAGTACGACATGCACAAGTCCAACACGAAGAAGCTTGGCAGCGCCCTTATCCGCATGTGCGCCGCCAACCAGATCAGCTACACGCTCGACCACTACCAGCGCAGCAAGCCTAAGCGCACTGGCGGTGACACATCGCACCCACCATCGGGCTCCGCACGTCTTCAGGCTGCGGACACCCAATTCATCGCCTTGGACCCTGCCTTTTGGAAGGTCCCTGTTCTTGCCGAACCCACCTCGCCTGACGACGGCAAGACGTACAAGCCCAGCATCAGCCTCCACGACTCCGAGAGTGGCGAATGGCTGCTGCAACACCACCTCGGGCAGGGCAAGCGAGCCACGGGCCAGCTCGCGATTGCTGTCATGGGCCCGAAAAACGACAACTACGTCGGTACCGAGCTCGCCGTCCCCGTCCTGAAGCGCCACCCCAAGGCGCCCAAAGTGGTCCACACGCACGTCCCCGTGATCGTGTACCAGCTGGGCACCAAGGAGGTCGCCTGCACGGAAAAGGTAGCCGTCGCCACCATCGACCCCGCCGACCACGTCTGCTGGATTCGGGCGACCATACACGAGACCGAGGCCATTGCCACAGTCCCCTCCATGCACCAGGCCTTCGAGGACCAGTTCTCGGGAGGTGCCCCCGTGAACGGTGGTCCACGCGCCAAGGGCCCTTTTCGAGGCGACTCCGCTCCACAGGACAAGGCGCGCCAAAAGCACAAGGAGTCCAAGAAAGACGCTCGCCGCCAGGAGCTCGATGGCCAGCTCCAGGACACCTTCAAGGCCCTCTTCCACGGCAACTTTAAAGCCGTCACCATCCTCGAACCCTGCAAAAGCCTAGGCAGGTTTGGATCGGGCGTCGGAAAGAGGTCCCTGGCTGCTGCCACCTTCTGGCGTCAGTCTCCAAGCGGTCGACAAGGTCCTGGCGGGATCAGGGCAACTCGGTGCCACCTACGACCTCAGCAACGTAGGTGCAGACGAGCCCACCGCCGACAAGTATGGTGTGGTTCTCTGAGGACCAGCCCATCACGATGGCAGACGCGTTCCAGAAGTCGGTGGAGCTCAAGGCCCTGGGAGTCGTCAGGCACGGCAAGTCAGGCCTGCTGGGGATCCGTGTTCCGCGGGGGTCGGACGTCGCCAAGGCCGCTGCTGTCAGCATCCGCGGCTGCGAGGCCACCCTCGCCAAGACGCGCTACCGCATCACTGGCGCTGCGTCACGCCACGCCACGCTGACCCAGCTCGCCAAGACTCTCACGGGCCCGTCCGTCAAATGGGACTGTGAGGTCTACCACACCGCCTGGGACCCAGCCACTGCGGCCCAGTTTGCCCTAGTGCGCGCCCATCGGCCCCCACTCACCTATACGGTGCAGGTCGCGGGGTGCTCCATCCCGTGGAGCATCGCCGAGGCCCCGCTGGCTGAGGTGGCGCCGAAGCGGGACAACGTTACCATCGTCACGCCTACCACCATCACAGAGCCTGCGACGCCGCCAGCCGGTGGTGGCGGCTTCAGCCCCGCCACCGGCACACTCCTCACCAAAGCGGCCCAGAGCCCCTACCTCCACGACCTCATGACTGCCACGCCCAAAGGCAAGGGCGTCGCACCGCTCCTGACCCCCAAGGAGGAGCCTTTAGCCAAGCGCCACCGCTCCTCCAGCGGGAAACGTGACGCCACGCCGCCCGCAAGGCCACCCCGCGCCCCAGGCCGCAGCTCTTCTGCGCCCCCTCACGGCACGGACGGAGCCGCTGAACCGACGGCCGCCCCAGGACCAGGTGGCCACGACCCCTGGCTTGGCACGGCGGCGGCGGAAGGAGGGGGCCACGCCGAAGGCGCCGCTGCCACAGCCGCCGAAGTACCAGGTGACGTCGTTGACGTCGAGATCCTCTCATCAGGCGATGAATACAGCGAGGCCTCCCAC